CACACACACACAAAATCCCCTCCCTACTAAAATACAGAATATTGTACACATTTAAACATAAATACATGTGGAACCCACATAACAAAATTACCTGATTCATCGATAAAGTAAAACTATATGGGTGGAGTCTAGCAAATATTTACTATAATAGAATTAAAACTGCCAGCAGTTAAAAAAATTATTATATCTTATAATAAAAATGATCTATTATGAGATTATTTCATTTTTAAAAAATCATTTAAGGGCTGGGCAAAGTGGCTCAAGACTGTAATCCCAGCACTTTGGGAGGCCAAGGCAAGAGGATTGCCTGGGTCCCCAGGTTTGAGACCAGTCTGGGCAACATGGTGAGACTTCGTCTCTACAATAAATCAAAAATTAGTCAGGTGTGGTAGCATGCACCTGTAGTTCCAGCTACTTGGAAGGCTGAGGCAGAAGGATTGCTGGAGCATGCCACTGCACTTCAGCCTAGGTGACAGAGTGAGACTCCAACTCAAAAAAAAAAAATCATTTAAGAAGACTAAGCAAAGATTGACAGCAAAGAAGCCCATCTAGAATTGGTCAAAGTCTTAGTGAATTACATTAAAGGCATTTTCTCTGATCTATTCTAGATTGTCACAGAAAAAAGTCTACAAGGCTAAACTTCAAACTGGAAACCATGATTACCTTTGAAGACTTGGATAGATATGAGGAGAAAGGAGAATTTCTACTTTATACACTTTTGTACTGCTTGAATTTTTCACATTAGATTCATATATTAAAAAAATTTTTTTTAATAAATAATCTGAGTCTTTAGTTTAACATTTTTTTTAATTCCGCATCAAGGAACAAAAAACATTTTCACTGAGTAGTCAAATAATTGCTAACTGATTTTATTTATTTTAAATTTGAAACAAAATTATTCAATGTAACTTTCAGCAAATTATAACTTCAATGACTCATCAAAATAAATACATTATATGAGTGAGCAAGTTATGAGATTACAGGGTCACCATTAATATCTAGCAGAGAATACAATTGTACCTTAGATAAGGATGCCTGAACTGTGCAACTATTTTAAAGTTTATTTGAAAACTGGAAAGTCAGAGCAACTCCTAAAAAAGTCAGGCTGGGCGCGGTGGCTCACGCCTGAATCCAGCACTTTAGGAGGCCAAGGCAGGAGGACTGCTTGAGCTCGGGGTTCGAGACCAGCCTAGGCAATGTAGCAAGACCTCATCTCTATAAAAAGTTTTTAAAAATTAGCCTGGCATAGTGGAGTACGCCTATCCCCCCAGCTACTAGGGAGGCTGAGGTTGAAGGATTGTCTGAACCCAGGAGGTTGAGGCTGCAGTGAGTTGTGTTTATGCCACTGCACTCCAGTCAGGGCGACAGAGTGAGACACCAACTCAAAAAAAAAAAGTCAGACAAATATAAACATCATTTACAGTTTATGTGTTATCTTAGTCAGAAACCGTAATAAGGCAAAAAGTGACCTAGCTGGATTATTCACAGTGCCATTAAGAAGCCAGGTAGCAGTCGGGCTTGGTGGCTCAGCCTGTCATCCCAACACTTTGAGAGGCCGAGGCGAGTGGATTGCCCGAGCCCATGATTCAAGACTAGCTCAGGCAACTCGACAAGACCTCATCTCTACAATAAATCAAAAATTAGCCGGGCATGATAGTAGTGCATACCTATAGTTCCAGCTACTTGGAAGACTGAGGCGGAAGGATGCCTGGAGCCCAGCAGGGAGACGCAGGGTGGCTGTGAGTGTGCCACTGCCCTCCAGCCTGGGCAATAGAGTGAGACTCCAACTCAAAAAAAGAAAGAATGCAGCCAGGTAGCATCTAAGAAATGAATAAAATGAGTCAAAGGGGAAATAAAGCCAGAGGGTAGAGTGAAGTATGAACATGAAAGACAAAATAACTTGGTTATCATCCACATCCTAAGGAATCTGGAGTTAAGAGACTGCTGAAAATGCAGATATAGATAAGTGTCTACCACTTACTGGAAAACATGATTCTAAGATAAAAATCCTCTGGAAAGTAATAAAACCTTTGCAGTCAAGCTCTCTGTAGGGAAGAGTTCACACCTAATTCCTAAAACTAGAGAGCCCAAAGAAGTGACTAGAGTCCAACTTTCATCGTTAGTTCATTTTAGAATTCTTTCTCTGCTAAAATACAAATTGCCTATTTAATTCCTCAAACATTTAATGAGTAATTAGTTTCCTAGATATTGTGTTGATGAAAGAGGTTAGGTAACCTAAGAGGGGAGACAAAAACCTAAGTAGATACCTATAATATGATGTGCTCAATACAGTGATATATTTATATTTATAGCACTCTTCTCCATTGATAACATAGAGAGTTCACTCACTCAGCACAGCCCAACGACAGGTCCAGGAAGAAAGACAGAATTAGGCTGGATGAGAAGATATGAGTTACACTTTTAAGGAAGAGAATATACTCAGGTAGATAACAGGGAAAAGAACATTTAAGGCAAGAGAACAAATAGTAGGAGCAAACGGTTGGAGCATGACACAGTTTGGTGTATGATAAAGGGGGTGAGTTGTGGGGTACTGCAAGTAGATTATTATTGGAATATAAGGATAGAGATGATGAAGAGTGGGAGAGAAGGTTGATGCTACACCGGCCAGATTACAAACAGACATGTACGACACGCAAAATTTCTTGAACTTTATCTCACATAATGGGGAACTAATGTTAAACAGAAGAATAACACAGAATCACATTTATAAGTCACTATGGCACATTTTGGAAGAAGAATTTGAGAGGAGGCAAAACTGAAGGTGAGGAAACAGAAGACTGCTGCTATAGTTTAGGCAAGAAATAATGAAGTTCTAAGCTAACAAGTAACCTTCTAACAAAAACACCCAGTGCTATTGTACCAATAATCTAGGACAATCACAGGGTAGCAGAAGAACAAAAATTAAATACATTGATATACATATATATGTATATGTCACATACACACATACATAATAGTTATATATCACATATGTTTTTACAAATACTTAAATAAAACACCACTATTATGCTATATAATAGACTACCTATTTCTACATTAAGAAAAAAGAACAAAGGTTAGAAAATAAAAAGGGAATTAGAAGCAAAAATTCAAAGCATTCTATTTGTGGTAAAACTAGCAATTAACCATAAATTGTTACTTCCAAAATGCATTATTTTAGTGGAAATAGACTGTTAAAATTTAGATTTGAGAAAAAGAAAATTATTTAGAATATATCCTACAAAGCACCTAAAATGAAGAACACTATCAGATTTCCCAGTATAGTTTTTAATATATTAATACAGAAAATCTAGAATATGAGATCTACATAAGCAAAAGCAGTTAAATAATCTAATAGAGAAGATAATCAAAGGATACAAAATTTCAGTTAGGAAGAATAAGTACAAGAGATCTACTGAACAACATGGTAACTATAGTTAATAACAATGTAGTATATTCTTGAAGAAAGCTAAGAGAGTGAATTTTGAACTTTCTCACCATAAAAAATAGTCATGTGAAGAAATGCATATGCTAATTAGCTCAATTTAGGCACTGTACAATGCATACATGTTTTAAGACATCCTATTGTACACAATAAATATATATAATTTTTATTTGACAATAAGAAACGAATGTTTTAAAAAAGAAAATAACATGACCTCAGTCTTAACAATTTATTGTGAGCCTACCACATCCTGTATACCATTTAATATTTATAAACCTTAATGAGCTAGGACCCTTATATTCATTTTACAGATGAGAAAACTACGACTCAGACAAGTTTACTTACCTAATAACTGAGATTTAAAGTCTGCTTGACTTTACATGTCTTATTTAAAGCTATTAGTAGCCATATATAAATAAAATTATGTGATTATTTCATAGAAACATTTTTATTTCACAAATGTAGCTCTTCATATCAGAAAGCCAAGTTTAGACTTATGCAATAGAACTAGAGCTGTGAAGTCAGAGAGACCTTGGTTTGAATCTAGACTTTACTCTTTATGAGCTGGGGGAATTTGAGTAAATTATATAACTTATCTGAGCCTCAACAAGTATAAAATAAGTTAATGAGGCTTCAAAGCGTTCTTGCAAAAATTGCAAAGTGCTTAAGCCCAGGTAAGTAATCGATTAATAGTAGCTAATGATATTATTCACAAATCAAGAAAAAGTATAAATAAAATTGATACACCACCTTGAAAACGGAAGTAAAAAAATTAATTTAGAAATAGAGATGTATACATATACATGCACACTTTTCATACCTCATCTCCCTCATAAGAATATACAGTGAATTACTGATAAGAGCATATTAGTTTACAGTTACATTGTGATTAAAGTGCTGTCATAAATTCACTTCTCTCTCCCTTATTAGAGAGAAGTTAGTTAGGAAACTAATGCCAACCTCCTCCTCTAAACACATTTTACACTGTGGCTCCCACACCCAAGCCTTCACCACAGGATTTCCACTTGTTCAAACCCCAAGCTTGCCAGGGTGTTCTGGTCCCTGCACTGTTATTCAAATACGACTGCTTGGGAAAAGTTGAAGAGGCTTGGGATAATCAGTGCTTGCTTCTTCATTATCAGGCCTTGCTGGGGAATGAATTCTTTCTGGGCTATTTGTGACATTTGCTACCCCCTCCAAAGCTATCAGTTACTGCCTTTAATTAATAGTTGACTATACTGAGAAAACATAGCTTAGGAATCTATAATAACTTTAATCCATAAACCGTTTTACTTCCTTTTTTGTAAAAAACTGCTTTGCAAAACTATATAAACTCTTATCTTTTACAACCATTTCAAGTTATTTCAAGTTTCTGGTCAGTTTAAATAACTGCTTTCGTATTACTTATAATATTTAGTACATAATTTACTAGGTAAAGTGAGTAATATCATAAATAATAAGTCCCAGGTAAACAGTCTCTAAGACACAAGTTATTACTATATCAGTCTTGCTAAGTATCTGTTAATCTACAATATAAAGATACAAGAAATATTACCTTGGTGTTCTTCTAAATCCATGTCAAGTTGTCTAATTTCTTCATTAAATTGATCCATCTTTTCTTTTATATCTGTTAATCTGTTAAAAATATTTTTAACGAATATATGAAGATAACATAGGCATTCAATAAAAATATCTGATAACGACATTAGGATGTCTTTTCAAAAGCACAAGCAACAAAAGAATAGATATATAAACTGAACAGCATCAAAACAAACTTTTGTGCTTCTAAGGACACCATCAAGAAAGTGAAAAGATAACCCATAGAATGAGAGAAAACTTTTGCAATTCATATAACTGATAAGAAAGCTCTACCTAGAATATATAAAGAAACGTTACAACTCAATAAGAAGAAGACAAATAACCTAGTTTAAAAATGGGCAAAGATAAGAGATAAGATAGACAAGTGGGACCTTATCAAACTGAAAGGCTTCTGCAAAGCCAAAGAAACCATTAAGAGAGCAGGAGACAGCCCACAAAATGGGAAAAAATATTTGCCAACTGTATATCTGACAAAGGCCTAACATCCAGGATATACAGGGAACTCAAACGTGCCCAAAAGAAAAAAACAAACAGCCACATTACAAAGTGGGCAAGAGATATGAATAGACACTTCTCAAAAGAAGACATACGAGCAGCCAACAGATACATGAAAAAATGTTCGGCCTCACTAGTCATAAAAAAAATACAAATTAAAACCACACTGAGATACTGCCTACTCCAATCAGGATGGTTATCATCAAGAACTCAAAAACAAGAGATGCTGAAGAGGATGCATGGAAAAGGGAACACACTTCTATACTGTTGGTGGGAGTGTAAACTAGTACAGCCTCTGTGGAAATCAGTGTGGCGATTCCTAAAAGATCTAAAAATCGACCTTCCATATGACCCTGCAATACCCCTAGGGAATATACCCACAGGAACTCAAATCACTCTATGAAAAAGATACCTGCTGGGCTCAGTGGCTCAGCCTGTAATCCCACGCCTTTGGGAGGCTGAGGTGAGTGGATTGCCTGAGCCCGCAGGTTCGAGACCCACCTGGACAGCGAGACCTCATCTCTACAATAAATCAAAAAATCAGCCGGGCGTGGTAGCACATGCCTGTCATTCCGGCTACTGGGAAGGCTGAGGCGGAAGGATTGCCGGAGCCCAGCAGGTCGAGGTTGCGGTGGCTGGGAGCGGCCACTGCACTCCAGTCTGGGCGACAGAGTGAGACTCCAACTCAAAAAAAAAAAAAAGATACCTGCACATGCATATTTACTGAAGTATTATTTACAATACTAAAAAAAAAAAAAAAACAAAAAAAAATGGAACCAACTGTGCTGCTCATCGAAAGAGGACTGGATCAAAAAAATGTGATACATATACATGATGGAATATTATGCAGCCATAAAGAAGGACAAAATTATGAACTTTGCAGCAACTTGGACGAACTTAGAGGCTATAATACTGAGTGATCTACCACAGAAACAAAAAACCAAGTGTCAGATGTTCTCGCTCATAAGTGGACCTTGAACAACTATTGTAATACTATAAGAAAGGGATTGATGGTAGTAGGAAACTGCCAGGCAAGGGCGGGGGCAGGACTGGCAGCAGTGGGAAACTGTCAGGGGAGGAGGAGGCACGCCTCATCAACAAGAGTATTTGTATAATGAACATCTGTATACCTATCCCTGAATTATAACCCACATATTTAAAATTGAAAATTAAAAAAAAAGTAGGCAAAGATAAGAGATAAGTTAGACAAGTGGGACCTCATTAAACCGAAAAGCTTCTGCAAAGCAAAAGAAACCATCAAGAGAGCAGGGAGACAGCCCACAGATGGAAAAAAATATTTGTGTATCTGACAAAAGCCTAACATCCAGGATCCACAAGGAACTCAAACATGCCAAAAGGAAAAAAACAAAAGAGCCCTATTAAAAAGTGGCCAGAAGATATGAATAGACACTTCTCAGAAGAAGACACAAGCAGCCAACAGATACCTGAAAAAATGCTCAATCTCACTAATCATCAGAGAAACGCAAATCAAAACCACACTGAAATACTATCTAACTCCAATCAAGATGGTCATCATCAATAACTCAAAAAACAACAGATGGCTGGGCTTGGTAGTTCAGCCTGTAATCCCAGCACTTTGGGAGGCCAAGGCGAGTGGATTGCCTGAGCCAACGAGTTCGAGACCAGACTGGGCAACTTGGCGAGAACCTATCTCTACAACTAGCCAGGCATGGTAGCACATGTCTATAGTTCTGGCTACTTGGAAAACTGAGGCGGAAGGATCGCCAGAGCACAGCAGGTTGACACTGGAGTGACCATGAGTGTGCCACTGTACTCCAGCCTGGGTGACAGAGTGAGACTCTAACTCAAAAAAACAAAAACAGAAAAACAGATGTTGGAGAGGATGCGGGGAAAAGAGAACACCTCTACACTGTTGGTCGAAGTGTAAACTAGTACAACCTCTGCGAAAAACAGTGTGGTGATTTCTAAAAGATCAAAAAATCGACATGACCCAGCAATCCTTCTTTTGGGAATATACCTGAGAGAACTCAAATCAGTCTACAAAAAAGATACCTGTGCACACATGTTTACTGCAGCATTATTCACAATAGTAAAAACCTGAACCCAACCGTGCTGTCCATTGAAAGTAGACTGGATTAAAAAAATGTGTTGCATATACATGATGGAACATTACACAGCTATAAAGAAGGATAAAATTACGGACTTCACAGAAACTTGGATGGATTTAGAGTCCATCACACTCAGTGATCTACCACAGAAACAAAGAACAGAGTATCACATGTTCTTACTCGTAAGTGGATGCTGAACATTTGTCATAATACTACATGAAAGGGATTGGCAGTAGCAGGTCATTGCCAGGGGAAGGAGGCAGGGTGCATATAACGCTAATACGGGTGCCTGATCCCAAACTGGGCAAAGTGAGGACCAATGGGAGGCCCAAACTTCACCTGTACAGTGACTACTTATGTACCTAACCCTGAATTGCACCCCACTTCTTTAAAACAACAACAAAAAAACTTTTAAAAAAGATATAGGTTGGGCTCAGTGGCTCAGCCTACAATCCCAGCACTTTGAGAGGTCGAGGCAAGTGGATTGCCTGAGCCCATCGGTTCAAGACCAGCCCGGGCAACTTGGAGGGAGCTCATCTATACAATAAAAAAAAAATTAGCCAGACATGGTAGTGTGCACCTATAGTTCTGGCTACTTTGATGGCTGAGATGGAAGGATCACTGGAGGTCATTAAGTCGATGCTGGGGTAGCCATGAGCGTCCCATGGCACTCCAGCCTGGGCAACGAAGTGAGATTCCAACTCAAAAAAAAAGATACATATGTAAAATTTATAACAGTAGCATAAAGGATAGAAGAAGGTAAATGGAACTGCTTTGTAGCAAAGATTTTCTATTTTACATGTATTAAAATACAACAGTATTAACTCTAATTTGATTCTGACAAGTTGAAGATGCATACTGTAATTTCTGGAGCAACCAATAAAAAAGGCAAATAGCATTTAAATCCTAATAAATAAATTAATTGAATATAAAAAATAAAAGTAGGCAAAGGATCTGAATAAGCATTTCCCCAAAGAAGATATACATATATGGCCATAAGTAAATGAAAGGCAGCTCAACATCATTATCCATCAAAGAAATGCAAATCAAAACCATAAGGAGACAACACTTCATACCCACTGGGCATGGCTATAATAAGAAAAAACAACAGATAATAACAAATGAAGATGTGAAAAAACTGCAATCTTCATATACTGCCAGTAGAAATGTAGAATGGTGCAACTGCATTGGAAAACAGCCTGACAGGTCCTCAAAAAGTTAAACATAAAGTACAAGAGTCAGCAGTTCCACTCCTAGGTATATATACAAAAGAAGTGAAAACATATACCCACCACAAAAACCTATACATGGGTTTTCATAGCAGCATGGTTCATAATAGTAAAAAGAAAATGATAACAACTCAAATGTTTACCAACTAATACGTGGATAAATAAAATATGGTAAATCTATGCAATGGAATATTATTTGAAATAAAAATTAGTGAAATATGATCTATGCTACAACACAGATAAACCTTGAAAGCATTATGTTAAGTGAAAGCACCCAGCAACACAGACCACATATCATAGGATTCCATTTATATGAAACGTCCAGAAAGGTAAATAAATCTATAAAGACATAAAGTAGATTATTGGTTGCATCGAAATGGGAGAGAGGTGAGGGAGCTGATGGCTAGGGAATGCAGGGTTATACTGGGGTGACTGAATTATTCTAAAATTGATTGGGGTGATGGTTGCACAGCTTGGTGAATATATTGAAAAGCTCTGAATTGTTCACTTTAAGTATGTAACATATGATATGAATGATATCTTTAAAAAGCTGTTTATAAAAAGCACTTATACTATGCATGGCTCTTAATTAAACACAAAAATATTTAAAGTTGTAAGACTGCAAACTGAATCAATATTATCATTGTAAGTCACAGAAAAAAAAACCTATAACAGTATGTACTCTTACACATTTAGACTGTAGTTTAAAAGATGAGATATGTATGTAGAATGTCCTAATATACAGGCACTTACTGTCTCTCCATGCTGGCTATTTCCTGATTATCTTCTTTAACCTAGAAAGGTACACAAATAAAATCGTATTTCAAGAATAATTCATTATAAGGCTATCTTAAAGACAATTTATTTCTAGAGTATGTTGTATAAAATATCAAATTTAGTGTCTTTTTAGAAACCTATTTCTTAAACTTCATCCCTTGAAGTTAAAAGGAATATCACCAAGCAACAATTTGCAGATACCTCCCTTCTTCCTCAAAGGAAGGGTAGAAACAGATATACCCATACCTATCTTCAAGGTACTATCAGGTTAACACATCTTCAGGCCTGATCAGTTGATATAAACATCTAGGATTTCTAAGACCACCCCCTCACCGCCTAAGGTAGGGCTGCTAGATTTACCAGCTAATTTGAATTTCAATTAAACAATAAACATATTTCAGAGTACATATGTACCATGTTATATTTGGAATATCCTTATCATCCTTATATATACATTTATATATGTATATATATGGATATATCCTTATCATCCATATATAGATTTATTTTATTTATTAAGGATAAATATATACATTTATCATCATCCATATATATATTTATTATATAAGGATATATCCTTATCATCCATATATGTATTTATTCTAAAAGATTATTTATTGCTTATCTGAAATTCAAATTTTTTTTTTTTTTTGAGTTGGAGTCTTACTCTGTCGCCCAGACTGGAGTGCAGGGGCTGTTCCCGGCCACCGCAGTCTCGACCTGCTGGGCTCTGGCGATCCTTCCGCCTCAGCCTTCCGAGTAGCCAGAATTACAGGCATGCGCTACCACGCCCAACTGATATTTTGATTTATTGTAGAGATGAGGTCTCGCTGCCCAGGTGGGTCTTGAACCTGCGGGCTCAGGCAATCCACTCACCTCAGCCTCCCAAGGCTTGGGATTACAGGCTGAGCCACCAAGCCCGGCTTGAAATTCAAATTTAACTAGCCATTCTGTATTTTATGTGGTATTCCTACCACAAGATCACTTTCTTCTCCCTATTCTCCAATGATTTCTTTCCAAGGAACTCCAGAGGTTTTAGATTTTCTTTCTGAATGATTATAATATTTAATTAGTCCTTTGATTCCTAAAATTCTTCAAAACTCATTGGGCTCAATCTAAAACCACAAAGGAGTTCCTGGTTGGAGCTGTGCCCAAATATATGTGTAGTTCTCCTAAAGGCCCTAAAAGTTAGGGTGTCTCAGGAAAAACAAAATGCTAATTATACCTTAGAGCTAAATTAAAACCAGCCATGGAGTAGTAAGAAAGCTACTGAATAAATGTGGACACTACTTTGTAATACATTATAGTTTCATGGAATATTTTAATTCCATTCCCTTCAGAGAGGCACTGAAATATTAACCACAAAAAGTTATTAGCCTTGGGTCACTACATTTTCTAAATCCAAGGTCCAAAACAAATAATGAAACTTATCTTCAATAAAATTATCTTAAGGCCAAGCACAGTGGTTCATATACCTATAATCCCAGCACTTTTAGAGTCTAAGGCAAAAGGATTACTTGAGACTAAGAGTTTGAGACCAGTCTAGAAAACATAGCAAGACATCATCTCTACAAAAAATCAAAAAATTAGCTAAGCCTGGTGATGTGTACCTACAGTCCTAGCTACTCAAGAAGGTGAGGTGGAAGGATCGCCTGAGCCCAGGAGGTAGAGGCTGTGGTGAGCCATGATTATGCCACTGTACTCCACTCTGGGTGACAGAGTCAGACCCCAACTAAAAATAAATAAATAAATAAAATTTAACAGCCCATAAAGAAGAGTGACAAGTTTTCCTAATAAGGAAACATTAGCTTCACCCAAATTTATATGAAATAATTGATGAAGAAAATCTACATAAATGTCATTTCCTCAAATAAACTATTTTTAGACAATATACTCATTGACTACTGGTTCAACTCATATACCTTAAAAAAAAAAATCAACACATGTACCAAAACTTGACATATTAAAATAAGAACATAAGTATGTGTGTTTCCCTACCTGCTTAAGTAATTTCTCTCTCTCTTCCATTGGTGATCCCATGCTTTTGTCTTCTGCAATCATTTGATCTCTATGAGATTCCAATTCATAAAGTTTTTCATTCAGCAATACTGCTTCCTGTTTTACCTGGGAGTGTGATATTTCCTGAAAAGTACAAAAAAGGGAAATTTTAAGTTAGTATTTTGTTAAAAAATCATTCTCAAATAGGTTTTAGTTTATAAGAATACATTTAAACTACCAGCATCTTTAAATACAGATATCAAATATCTTTAGTACTCAATAATGCTACAAAACACATTTATAAACTGGAAGAATAGAAATAAATCTCTGACTGGGCACGTGCTGGTTCAAGCCTGTAATCTCAGCACTTTGGAAGGCTGAGGCAAGAAAATTGCCTGAGCCCAAGGGTTCGTGACCAACCTGCACAACTTGGTGAGACCTAGTCTGTATAATATGTCAAAAAATTAGCCAGGTGTGGTAGCATGCTCCTGTAGTTCCAACTACTTGGAAGGCTAAGATGGAAGGATTGCCTGAGCCCAGCAGGTCAATGGTGGGGTGGCCATGAGTGTGCCACTGCACCCCAGCCTGGGTGACAGAGTGAGACTCTGACTCAAAAAAAAAAGGAAGAAATCCCTGTGTGTCTTCATAAGCGATTTTCAGTCTAAGATTCATAAGAAGTTGGTAGACTTAGTTTATTTTATTTTCTAAATCTAAAATTTGAACATATATAGACTGTCTCTACTAATAGGAGGATAAAGAAAAGATCATAATGTGCATATAACTTTAAATAAAAGAAGTGATCTCTGGAGGGAAGATAAGATAATTTCCCTAAATAGGTCATACATATACCTTTCCACAATGTTATGAGTTGAATTATGTCCCCTTCCATCAAAAAAAATATATATATGTTGAGGTCATTAACCTCTTAAATCTGTGAACCTGATCTTTATTTGAAAACAGGTCTTTGCTGATTTAGTCAAAGTTAAGATGAGATTAGGGTTGGGTCCTAATCCAACATGACTGGTGCTCTTATAAGAAGACCAGAACACAACAGGGACACACATGTGATACACAGGCAGAAACTCGAGTGCTTCAGCAACCAGTAAAGCAATGCCAAGAACTGATGGATACCATCAGAAGCTAGGAAGAAGCAAGGCAATATTCTACCCAGAGTCTCAGAGGAAGCACGGTTTTGCTAACACTTTGATTTCAGACTTCTAGCCTTAAGAACTGTGAGAAAATAAATTTTTGTTGTTTTAGCCCACTCAGTTTGTGATGCTTTGTTACAATACCACTAGGAAACTAACATAGGCAAAAATAGTTATATTGTGTATACTCCACCATTCTACTGTTCAAAAAGAGAAAATAAGGATAAAATTAAAATGTCATTAGATAACCAAACAAGCTAGGAATGGTGGTGGTTATGATTAAAATAATATTCGATGGTTTTGTAGTTAAGGACTACAGTGGAGTTCCAACTGGCCCTTAGTGGAGTCTGCAGCATCAACTGTAGCCACATCATCATGGAGGATACCAGATCATGGCCAGGCAAAAACAGAATAGACCATGAGTTCCATCAGCTGCAAACTTCAGCACTCTGTTAACAGAAGACTCAGGAGGCCATGCAGGGGTGAAATGCCTCACTTCCATGGGAGCCTTTAAAGCCAGTTGGTACTCGACTACTCTCTGCAGTGCTGCAACTGGGGCTGCACCTAATAGTGACCCATCTAATGCCTGGATCCTGGGAGAAGTTCAGGGATAAGGTGAGCGAGAACATCCTAGCTGACTCCTGTCAGACATGGGGAGCGAACGAGAAATGAACTGTTTTTCCTTAAAAAAAAAAAAGACATTTGAAGCTATTATTTATTGAGCACTTGTTCTGTGTAAGGCACTGTACTCCACATTCTCTACATGATAGTACAATCATCTCCATCCTACAGATGAGGAAACTGAGGACCTGAGATCTAAGTAACTTTTTCAAATTAATAAAGATATGAGAGTTAATAATGATATTTGAAGCCAGACATACTTCATGAACAAAACCAAATTCTTAAGAGGGAGGACCTCCTCTTTTTTGAAAGCAAAAGGAATAAAGAAGAAGAGAAGAAATCTTTAAAAAAGGAAAAGCTAAACACGGAAAATATTTGAAAGTCTATAAACAACGAGCTATATATACATAGCTCAAGCAGTGGATTCTCTTCAGATAAGATAAAGGCATGATAACAAAATACATGTAGAAGAAGTACAGATATTTTTAGATATCCTTTTTCATATTATCTTTTCCTTTGTGTCTAACACTCCTATAGACTTGTTCCAATTATATCTTTTTTTTCCTTTTTGACCAGGAATCTCACTCTGTTGCTGAGGCTGGAGTGCAGTGTCATGATCACAGCTCACTGCAGCCTTGACCTCCTGGGCTCAGGCGATCCTTCCACCTCAGTCTCCCAAATAGCTGGGACTAAAGGTGCACGCCAACACGCCTAGCTAATTTTCTTATTTTTTTATAAAGATGATGTCTCGCTATGTTTCTTAGGCAGGCCTCAAACTCCTGGTCTCAAGCAATCCTCCTGCCTCGGCCTCCCAAAATGCTGATACTGCAGACGCCAGCCACTGCACCTGGCCTCTAAGTGCATCTTGAAACTTCCTGAAGACTCAAGCTCATGCTGATCCTTCACCTGATCTTTTTACGCTCCTGTGAATTGAATAAGCATGACCTAATAGTCTGCACAGTAATGAATGAAAACAATGTAGATTTCAATAAATGCCAGTTGATTGTCTGCTGTCTGACACAATGTTTTCTTGAAGAACAAGTCCTAAATAAATGTAAATAAAAGAATTCTGACAAACGTTAAATAGAGTTAGTAACTTATGTTTTCTTGATTTGAGAATATTGCAAATTTTTTTAAACCCGTGTCATTTTAGGCACACACATGTTGATGCTAAAGAAGGGTGGCACTGGCCGGGCTCGGTGGTGCAATCTGTAATCCCAGCATTTTGGGAGGTCAAGGCGAGTGGATTGCCTGAGCCCACGGGTCCGAGTTCAGCCTGGGCAACTTGGCAAAACCTAGTTTCTACAATAAATAAAAAATTAGCCGGGCATGGTAGTGTGCTCCTGTAGTTCCAGCTACTTGGAAGGCTAAGGGAGAAAGATCGGCGGAGCCCAGCAGTCGATGCTGGGGTGGCTGTAAGCATGCCACTGCACTCCAGCCTTGGTGACTCAGTGAGACTCCAACTCAAAAATAAATAAATAAATGAAAGGGGGTGGCATTAATACAAAAACTAAATCTAAGGCGATAGCTTACACTTTTTCCTACAGAAATTAAAATTGTGAAGTGAAATAAGACTTAACTCTCCCACAATCACTCCAAAAAGATAGTGAGGAATTCTGCAAGTTGGCTCTATTAATACAAAATATGGTCTTTCTTCCTTGAAGCATATTTCCATCACCAGAAATACAAGGAAATAAAAATTAGGTATACCTATAAATGAACAACCAGACATGAAAACCACCTTCATATTTTTAACTAAGTAATTTTTCAATAGCAAATTCTCAAAAGAATGAATTACAAAATACTTCATTTGTAATTCATGCTTAATTCATGTTGTTTATAAGCTAAACAACAATCTTGTCAATCTACAATGGTTCCTAATCCTATCATATGCTATCTATCTGAATCTAACTATAGGAAATCAAGGAAGGTAGGCAAGGTCTAAGGTATGGACAATATACTGATGTGCCAAGGATATGAAAAAGTAGTTCACAGAAAAATAAATTCGCCAGGCTCGGTGGCTCAGCCTGTAATCCCGTGCCTTTGAGAGGCTGAGGTGAGTGGATTGCCTGAACCCGCGGGTTCGAGACCCGCCTGGGCAGCGAGACCTCATCTCTACAATAAATCAAAAAATCGCGCATGCCTATAATTCCGGCTACTGGGAAGGCTGAGGCGGAAGGATCGCCGGAGCCCAGCAGGTCGAGGCTGCGGCGGCCGGGAGCGGCCACTGCACTCCAGTCTGGGCTACAGAGTGAGACTCCAACTCCAAAAAAAAAAGAAAAGAAAAATAAATTCATCGGCCAACAATGATATAAAGATACACAACTTCATGCATAAATAGATTAAAAAATTAAAACAAGGTAGCAATTTTTGCCTATTAAAATTGCAAAAATTGGATAATATCTGCTGCCAATAAGTACAGGGGAAAATAAGCACTCAAGTACATAATGTTTAGAAGTAGAAATTGAACCATTTTTGGAAGGCAATTAGGCAACCTCATAACATTTTATAGTATATGTTTTTTGACCCATTGTTAGATAATAATCTTATGATATATTAGTACAACTCTGCATAAAATGTGTATTTTTGCTGGAGCACTCCTCCAGAAATCTATAAACAACCTGTTCACCTACAAGACTGTGTTAGGATCCTACAACATAATACAATATAGTAATTTAAAATAAAGAGAGGGATCTCTAAGAACTGATGTGAAGAGACATTCAAGATATGATGTTAGGATGAAAAAAAAGCTGTAGGTAGCATATCAAGGATGAACCCCACTTGAGGTTCTCCACAACTGTGAAACCAAGAGGGATTACAGGATTGTTGTGAACATTAAACACTCATGATGTGAGATGGGTAAAGAACTCAAGAAAGCTCACAGTAAGTATACAGTAACAACACATGCAACAAGTAAGCACTCATAAACATCTTTCTAGTAGTTCTACCTGGAAACAGAACAAACATTTTTATTTTCATCTTATTCAAAATTTTTTAACTATAAATATGTTTTGCTTTGTGAATTAAAAATTGCTTTGAGGCCTGGGCAGGCAGCCATTCCACATCGCACCGCCAGTGCCTGAGGCGAGCCACCGCCACCTCCGCCGCTGCCTCCGAGGTAGCCACGACTTCAGACCTTGAAGCCCCTGCGAGCAAGATCTGCAGAGGTCTACTACCACTGGAGTCCTGCCAGGCCATCGGTCTCCTCCTGTGTGCCTCCAGGCAACATCCCTCCCCTTAGGGGCGGGCAAGCAGCTGTGATAAAGACCATCTGGAGCGAGGGATAACACCACCTGCTGGCGATTCAAGGTAAAAACACCAAAAGGGAAAAATAGAAGCCTGACGTCAACACAGCTCAGATCTGAGTAGTGAACG